CTTACGGCCGCTGACAGAGGCGTTTTTATGGGAAAACGCCTGCTCGGGTATACGCCGTGCACCTGTCTGTGGGTGGAAGTCGCACTCGCATTTGAAGGTCCTCCACTTTCCCGAAGAAGGTGATAGTACATGATCGAATTGCATTGTATGTTTTGCGGTACCATTGTGTGTTTTATGGTTTGATGGTTGTTTTACTTTCCCATGAACTGCTCTACACAGTTGAATTTCAATCGATACGCTGGAAATTGGTGACTTGCTAAGTTTGGCACCTATACCACCTTTTTTCATAATTAAGCTAGGTCTAAATAGAAGTGTGCTGAAGACAGAAAGATTTTTTCACGATGTAGTAATTCATGCAGGGAGATCGGTACGAAACAGCCAAGCCTGAAATATGATTACTATTGAGTTTATGGTAACTTCATGTCTTTTGGGACCATTCCTCCCAGCCTTTCACCCCCTGGTCCCTCTGTATGCGACCCCCCCTTTCGTTCGGCCAAATGCGACCCCCTCGTTGTTCTTTGCGCAACGTAGGGTTGACCCTGCTTCCGAGGGGTGTCCTATGATTTTGCAACGACTACAAAACTAAAAAAATTGTCTAAAAATACGGAAAACTATTCGGATGATCTGGCTACTTGTTTGTATAGGTTTTTATAGAGGCGGTTCTGATTCTACCAGTTGCGATAGACGGCTTTTTCTAGAAGCCGAGATATTCATATTTTTGGGGGGTGTCCTATGATTTTGCAACGCACTGTATGCGAACGTGTGATTTCCTTGGACAATAAACTTTGAAAAACGGTTTAGTTCCTTTTAGAAAGAGCAAATCCTGTGCTTTCTTCCATGCAAAAGTGCATCACAGAAATGAAAATGAAGTGAGTTATGGCCGCTGAAAGCCCAAAAACTCGCTTTTGCACGAAAAATGTTCGTGGACAATTTTTTGAAAAAAGGATCAAACTTTTTATACTGTTTTGTTAGAGAAATATTTGAAGTTTCTGAAACTTTTTACAGCTTTCCAAAATGTCGCATACGAAAGATTTTATGGGCCTTCAAAGTTGAAGGTGCGCCTTCTTAGAATTTTGGGTTTTCCACTTCTAACAGAAGTACTTTCCGGAGAGTTAGGCAATCCTTGTAGTTTTCTGAAAGCGCACCTCAGGCACATCAAAATCTACCTCAACAAGTCAAAAAATACGTCCCAAGAAAGTTATTCCCCTCTAAATTTTTTCTTCGCCGCGTCCCGTTCTTCTCAGCGCCCTGGGTGACACCTGCCGCGCTCCAAGCGGAGCCGCGTTGCGGCGTTAGTTTTAGAGCGCGGCAAGGAGTTCACCGGCATCAGATGTACCTACTACTTTTCACTGCCTTGGTGTGGACAGCAGCTCGATTCGTAGGCTGCTATCCACGCAAGGCAGGATTTTGAATTGATGTGTACGCAAACGATTCCATTTCTTCTCTTTTTGTGTAAGTGGGTTTTTTCATGAGTTCAGGTGGCTGATCTATGATCTCTACAAAAAATTTGAGAACATGAAGGAAATTTTTGAGTTTTGCATTACTACCTGAGTTTGCGAAGAATAAAAGAATGTCAATATAACAAAATGTAAATGTGAAACATTGGCTGCACACTTACGCTTAACAGCACTCTTGACAGCCCACTTACGCTTAACAGCACTCTTGACAGCAACAAAGGGAGGGTCGCACCTGAACCCGTTTCAGGGGGGCTCAAAAATTTCGAAAAATTGCAAGCGTGACGGTTCACCCTGGTTATACAGGCTACATCATTAATCGAAAGCAATGCCTTGCTGCTGCTGGAACACCCCACTGTCAATTACGTGATGGTATTAGGGAAATCAGATGCCAAAACAGTTGCCAATTTCTCATAGCTCGAAAACCGAAAAAATCTATCATTGTTTCTAGAACAAACAAAGTCTAGCAGCCGAATGACATTTGGATAACTAATACAATATTAAGGTCGCAACGAAAGTAATGGCGGATTCGACCCTCGATTTCAAAAGCTCATATCTTTCTTTGAATTGAACTTTATTCCGAATAATAATTCCCACAAGTACCTACTACAGGCCGCCATCGGTCTACAAGGGAACAAGTGCCCCACCTTCAAAATTCGGCAGGCTTCGAGTCGAAGAAGTGCCCATGTCCGCTTTCAACTGTTGACAGTTGTCGTACTTTTTACCCTTTGCGAAGTGAGCCAGGGAAAAGGAGCGGGTGGTAATCCGTAGGCGCAAGACCTGGCGAATATGGAGGATGGGGTAAAACCGCAGATCCAAGTTCCGCCAATGTGTCCTGGGTTACCCTTCCAGCATGGTCGCGCGTTGTCATGAAGAAGAAGGGACTTCGTCCAGCTTCGGGCGAAGTTTCGCGAATTCAGCTGCGAGCCTTCGTGGTTGTGAGCAGTACACCTCAGCGTCGACGGTGGTATTGTCTGGCATCTCGTAATGACGTGTTCCCCGAACACTCCACCAAACTGACAGAGGAACTTTCTTGGGATGAACCTCCTGCTTTGGAACAGGCTCTGGCTTCTGGTTCGCACCCATTCCACTGTCTTTCTCTGGTATGACATAGGTAGAGCCTCCCACCTTTCATCTCCAGTAATTACATTATCCACCAGTCGAAACGGCGACTCCTTGCAAGAAAACCTCCGCACACCCCGATACCTCTTTTCTTGCAATGCTCTGTCAGCTCATGAGGGATCAATCGACCAAGTTTCTCAACTTTTTCCAGCATGTGATGAACACGACCTGTGGCCATGTTGAAGCAGTGCATCTCCTTTGCCAGCTCCATGGCGCTTGCATGCGGAAAGTCTTGAAGTAACAGCTCCAAACGTTCGAAATTAACTTTCGTTGGGCGTCCATCTTCGAGGTTGTAGTTTCCTTCGCGGAGCCTTCTGAACCAAAGTTGGCAGGTTTTTTCACTTACCACTCCCCCTACTTCCACAGAGCATATTTTGCGGCAGGCTTCGCTCGCTGTGGGGCCCAGACAAAATTCGCAAAGAAGTCAGTGGGGTACATGGGTAGAAACGTATGGCATTTTCCAGGCTCCAAAAAGCGTGCAGGAGGTGAGACTCGAGAATATGAAGGAATATCACCACTCCTGTATATGGTTAAAAATTTTCCCCTCCAGGTTAATGCGCAGCCGTTTGTGAGGACTTTGAAAAAATGCGCCAGGACTTTCGTTGCGACCTAATACTTGGGCTGCTTATTTACACCCCTCGGCGTAAACATCTACCATGCTTGGATACTCGGGTGGTTTAGCGGTCTAATAACTTCTTTTACCGGTGATGCGATAGAATTACCAATTTATCGTATTTCCACAGACATCGACCATCTTAGGAAGCTCGGGCAGATTAGCGGTCGAATGGATCACGACTACATCGCAAAAAATGAGATGTTTTCTTATCCCACATCTGGATAAGAACTTCAGTACATATGCTTGTATCGCTCCTTATCAGCCCCTATCAGCCGTTATCACTTTCTGGTCCCCATCAAATATGTTCCCGTCCCACCCCCTATATCATATCTGCAAAGCAACGCCTCAATGCTGCTGGGCCTTGCGCTGTGAATTTCGTGACATGTGCGTTCGAACGCTTCTTATCAGCCCCTATCAGCCGTTATCACTTTCCGGTCCCCATCAAATACGTTCCCGTCCACCCCCTATATCATATCTCAAAATCAACTTATGGCGACAGCTGGTGAGCTATGAATTTCCGGTCAGACACACACATACACACGGACACACACATGCACAACCGCTTAGCGGATTATACATAGTAGAGTATAAAGAGGATGATAACCGCGTTAGGACCTGTCTAAAAACAAGAACGCTGCTGCAGATTATTCGAGGTAGGTCACCAATAAAGTAATGGATCATTTTTTGTCTCCCAGCGATGAAGAGCATCTAGAGCATTTTCCTATACTTTTCTGCGCTGCCAAAAGATCAGCTCGCAGTACGGATTCTTTTAAAAATGTCACTTAACATTAAACATATTATTGAGCTTTGCTTCTTTAGTCCACGACCAATCTTATCTATTGTTGTTAAGTGTATGAATTTGTTGACTTGTTATTGCTCAATTGTTGTCATATCTATTGTTTCTCAACTGCGCAGCAAACCAGTATATGGGTGTTGTTCTAAGCTAGCCAGTTGTCATTAAGTTACAGCTTTGTTACCTGAAGACTCTCTGATAGATTTCGCCGTTTTCTTCTGTTTATATCTGAACCATTTCAGGTTATTCTGGTTGCAGACCGTATTCTCGCTCTGCTCAATCGTATTTCATTCTCCGAGAGCCCAGCTCTTGACGGTTTGACCCATCCGTTCCTTTGGCTGGCACCATTGCAAATGTGAAGGGAACTGAAAGGTTGTTCCTGCTCTTCACTCCCGGTGGCGCCAATTTTTGTAAATAATAGATTGTTAGAAAGTTCTTGTCCTTTTGTCAGCTCATCTTCAAGAAATAACTCCGTATAAGGTGAGCACTTTATTCGAAATAAATCCCATTCGATTCAACATATTTTTGCCAATGGGACACGTGTTTGCTTATACCGTTCCTGTGAAATTCTGGCAGTCTGGATCCCGAGAATTCGAGTTAGGCAGCTCTCACATCTCCTTGATTTCCGAATACTCTATTTTTCAAGAAGTTATCCAGATGTTTGAAATATAGAAGTCACGTGAAGCTAGGACAGGTGAGTATGGAGGGTGAGGGAACTTCGATCCGCAACTCATTTAATTTCTGGAAGATGATGTGTGAAACACACAGTCGCGAATTGTCGTGGTGGACCATGGCGATTCACCAGTACTTGTTGCATCTATTCCAATTCTGCGTACATTTCGTTAATTTGATCGCAGTAGGTTAGTGCGGTGATGGCTTGACCAGGAAAAAGAATGGTGCAATAGATTTATCCTTGATATGACCACCAGATTATTATGATCTTTGTCTTCCTGACCTGTTCTCGGTTTAGGTGGTACGGCACCCATTTGTCGAGTTTTTCTCTATCAGAATCTTCTTAAGGTGAACAGCAATAATTGTGGAATTTCCTTAGAAGTTTACGTCGATCTATTTCAACTGTTTTCAACAAAACATCGTGTTGAACTAGCGATGAACGGCCAGCTCGCTCTTTGTCTTCCAGCGAATCGTCTCAATTTCTGAACCTCTGGAACCAGTGATGAACGTTCGTTCCAATGCAGTGCCTTCTCCCCAAACCACTTTCACATTTTCGATTGCGTCCATTGCCGTTCAACCAAGTTTGAACGCATGAAGTAAAAACGCTCAAAAGCAATTTTGTAAGTTTTGCAAGGAAACACTTCCAGTTTTTCAAAAAACTCATAGAATTTCGTGAAAAATGCTCCAGTTGAAGTAGCAACCCTTCGGCTTCTAATTTCTTTGAGAGCAGAGTATGGCGATTGGTCTTACTGGACACGCGACGAAATTGGATTTTATATGGCACACGCGCGATAACGACAGAATATTCCTCACAACCTAACACCGGGCCAAAAGGGTGAAAAGTGATCAGAGCTATTTTTGATATCTTCGGAGAATGAGAGGAAAAGGGGAAATCGTGTAGGTTAGAGGCATTAGGAATCAACTTTAAGAGTCCCGAAAATCTTCTAGATTAGGCGAACTCTTCGGGATCAACTCATACACTTTTGGTTATTAGCTGTACGCAAAACGAAGAAAGGATTGTGTCCACAAGGCTGAATGGTTAGGTATTTGAAACCATATTCTAATGGTCTAGGTTCGATCCTACGCTAAATAAGAGTTCATGCATACGTTTATTGATTCAAATTCGGTTCACGTTTGTTTGTGGGCTACACAAAGGAGTAATCGTGAAAGAGTTTGTAATGTTATGTTGTGATTAATCAGAAGCATATCTCATTTCTGCATGGTTCGCTGTAGAATCGGTGGAAATCGTGGTCGGACATCAAAAAATCGAACGACTAGCTTTCGAAGCTCTCCCCTCAAGAGGTAGGCTATTGGCAAGCCTAGAACGGCTTCAAAGTCTTGTAAATAGGCAAGCGAAGGTTCTGAGACTTCCTGAGCACATAGAGGTGCTTCGACTACAAGCGCGGCCGAGTCGGTATTGGTCAGCTGCGCGGGCAAATTTGAAAACACTCCAACTCAAGATGCCCGCGAACTGTGCTGATGGACCCGTAGTGCCCCGTACCCTTCAGCGGATGGATGTTTTCAAATCCACTATCCACTCGGCCGCGCTCCAAAGTGTGACGAGGTTCCGTTGCACCAGCGAGTCCAGCGAGTCGAACGATGTACCAGCGACTCAATAGTGGCGGGACCCAACGTTCAAAGGAAGCCCGCCACTTTCAAACAGTGTCACGTGACAGTGGACCCTTTTTGAAAGTGGCGGGACTTGACAGTGGACCACTTCCGCCCGCCACTTTCAAACGGTGTCCACTGTCACGTGACACTGTTTGAAAGTGGCGGGCTTCCTTTGAACGTTGGGTCCCGCCACTATTGAGTCGCTGGTACCATAGTTCGACTCGCTGGTACATAGTTCGATTCGCTGGCGCAACGCTCGATCCAGCTCGATTCGCAAACTATGATATCGGCCTGCTCTGTGAACACCAGCTATACTGAGAGAATTCCTTGGAATAATTTCAAATCCCTCATGAATGAAGTGCTTACATTGCTGCATATGGTTTAAGAATATCACTCCCTCAATTGTTGGAGGAAATGGTCTTGCCGTAACAAATTATTTCACGAAATAACTAACAATTTTGGACTGCTCTCTGAGCACCGCCGTAGACACTTACGTATTGGGTTGTCCCAAAAATCCTGCGACGCTCTGAATTGGATAGCCGCTAGCTATACAAAGACGAATAGCGCCCAATTTTGATCTACGGCATGGCTGACAATAAAAGGATAAAAGGATAAAGCATTTGCCGTTGATCAATCCCTTTTGGGATGCGGCACGCATTCTACTTCCATTTGTACATTCGTAGTGGCGTTTGAATGCGATGTGGCCTATACAATGACTTGCGGGGGCCAGCCGATGTACAAGTCAGTGTTTTTATCCTCCCAGACAAGTCTGGTACCAATTAACCGACCCCGGAGGGATGGAAGGCTTGGTTGGCCCGGGCGACTCACGACCCAGGATTTGATCCCGGACCGCTCGCGTGGTAAGCGCGCCACTTGCCACTACACCACTTCCGCCTATGGTTGACAATGGGATCGACAAATTACAAGTGAAATGGATGAAGGTCATCGATAATAACGGCGACTATATCACTGATTGAACTTGTCTTTTATTGTATAAAAAACGATCTGAAATTTGTGTTGTTAGTGTCGCATTATTTTCTGGACAACCCAATAGAATGAAGCTTATTTTACCGAGGTGAGTAGTAATACTGTCGATTTTCTCAACATCACTTCTATCAACGCTTTGTCGAACGGTGCGGCGAGTGCCCTGGTTCTGTTATGTCTTGGAAATTCGTGTCGGGTGCTATTCAGGAAGTCTAAGTATCTGACAGGAGGCCCGTCGCACGGCAAGAAGGCAGAACCAGCGGACGAGTCGCCTGACCTACAACAGTACATTCTATTTAACTTGACGCAAAATCACCATACGCTACGGCTCGTCCACTGACTCGGCCTTGTTGCTGCGTGACGAGTCTCCTGTCGGGATACCAGAAAAGTCCATATCGCAGTTACACGCCTGGTTTTCTCTAGCTATCTGACTTCCTCGGTGATAAGAGTCGCCGGGGGTCACATCTATAAATCGAGAGGGGCGCGCAACGTGTGTCGCCCGCGTATCCCATATTGGAGCGTATTTCTCAGCAAGTCCGCCCTCATACGCTTTCGTTTCCTCAAGTTGAGCTTTCTGCACCCTATCGTCATTCTGTGACACTAATTAATAAATATACTCTACAACTACTCTTTCTATTCGGGTGTCTATTCAGATATCTTAGTGGTGGTGGTGTAAGTTTTGACTACATCTGACTATGAGCGAAATGCTCGATTCTTCCTATTTCTGATCACCTCCGAGTGTAATAGTGGCAATCACGAACTGAGGGGATCGGGAGAATCGATTTGTCTGTCGAAGGTGCGTAAGTATAAACAATTACTACAACCCATTGTTCTCATCCACTGACTTTGTCGTTATACTTTCATTCCGTGACATCTACTTTGTAACTATAAGTATCTGAACGTTGGTGTGGCTAATAACTTCCTTTCGTACATTCCTCATCCCGTTGTGAACGTGAGAGCTCCATGGTCTAAAGGCTATTATGGAGGAAGACGAGACTTTCCAGCAATGTACAAGGTTGGCAAGACTTCAGCAACCGGTGGTTTTCGGGTGAGCACGCCGACTCCGATATTACCTACTCTTCCCAATTAGTAAGCTTCCCGACCCTAGAGTTGTTCTTTCTAAAGGACTAAGCCTTTAGAAAGGATAACTCCAGTCGTCCTGTAATAAAACTGATAGGGCCACACAAAGGGAGGCAGGAGTGAAAATTGTTCAAAATAAGTTGTAATGGGAAAAAGGGACTAGAAAGTGTCCGAAACTTTAGATTCAATAGCATCAGCTACGACGTGCACGAGATGTCATGAATTCTTTTGTATGAATTGTTTTCAAATGAGTTATAACTGTTTTCTTTGAGTTCGAAGTGGAAGTCCACTTAGTTTTTGGTTATTTTAGGAACTATTTCGAGATTGAAGTCTAGGTTTTTTCATACATACGGCATGAGTATGTTACATAGATATGTAACAACATAAAACATTTTGTAGAAAAACCGAGTCCTCAGAAAAATCACCCCTTGGGTGTCAGGCGGTCCGGAAAGGGTTAATTGACGTTTATCTCAATAAAGCGGAATTAGGAAAAATGGTATCATTATACAAAAGGAAGGGCCTCCTCGTCCTTCATACCCCCACCAAGCGTGGTAAACGCTTAAGGGAAGGATGGTGCAAAGTCGACAATGCGGTTATACGCCGCGCACGATGTCATTTTGGGTCTCTTGACCGACATCAGTTCAAAAATTATGATTCCAGAGTTTGGACAGTTCACCAAAGCTTCTTGAGCAACGTGGTACTCAAACCGCATGGAAGTCCTCCGACAAGAGATGGGTCTAGTTCGTAAGTAATTATGACCACCTTCTAGATTTCTCGCAGTCGTTCATGTCACGGTTATGTTCTATTTTGAGCCCTTTGTTGGTCCGGAAATTGTGAACCACAATAGAAAATGAAAGGCTATTAACCAAGCTCGTGCGTCACTATCAGGGCCGGTTCTTTGTTATCTTCGAATTCTGACGCCATAAAAACACTATGCTGTAATCTATCCGGTTAAAGCGGAACTTATTGGCCTATACGATGTTCACAGCTGGCAGAGCACTTCACATAGGTTTTATAGGATCTATCCGATGCATGAGTCTATATGAGCTTGCCATCCACTCGCCGACCTGTGATTAATACCAGTTTAGCTTCAGACGTTGCAAAGATATGTACATTAGACAGCACATATTTTTGTGTTGAAGATGGATTTGTGGCCAATTTTGATCAGGTCAACATAGCCTAAGAGCTAATCATGCCTAAGCAGTTTTCGCATAAGTCTATGATCATACTTCTTTCCAGCTTCACTACCAGCCATAGTGAAGGTACAGATACTCATCTTCCGAGAACCACATGTGCGTACAGTGCAGGCCATACACCACATGTGACGGCGTCTCTACTTAAAGGCAAAAGTCAGGCTCGTGTTTCGGCATTATGGCACCTGATATTGAGTTTAGAGATGGGAGGTGGAACGATAGTGAAGAAAAAACGAAAAAAACTGTCGACAACACCTAAATAGAAACCCATTCCTTCTAGCAGTGAAGGAGATTTGCTCGGGGAGAGTCACGTCCAAACGAGTTTTCTGGATATGCCAGCCGTTCCATCGGTTGATACGGCAATCAACTCAGCTGATCTCACACGTTAGGCCAGCCACGCACCACATCCCATGGTGGGCGGCCGGAGCGCCTCCAGGCGGCGCGAGCGCTTAATGCATGCCCTGGGGCGTTATTACGGCGCCTTTTGAGATTCTGAGCATGGCAACGTCCCTGTGGGTGCGTAGCCATGCACATAGACGACTAAAGTGATTGGTTTGGTCCACTGAGCCTGACTCGTGGCTTTAAAATTCTTTCTTAAGTGTTCATAGGATACTATATTGTAATCAGTGGTCGATATCGATAGAATACAACTACAACCGGCCAAGTTTCATTGGCAGAAAGCATTTGCATCCAGTAGAA